TCGTGAATGTGAACGGGAATCCTCAAAGGCTGTTCATCATATGCATTGGCATGAAAGGTGATTGGGCGGGATTGGCAAAAGTCGGTGTGCTCAACCGAAGTTTCCATCGTGATGCTCCGGCAAAGCCATTCGGGCCAGGGATCTGCCACCTGTGTAAGGCAGGTCAAGAGAACCACCCGTGGCATTTGGCGGACTACGAGTCAATGGTTGAGGCACACAAGGACGTCCGTCCACCGTGGCGGCAAGAGTCGCGTCTGGTGGAATTTATTCCTTGTCCTCCTTACAAGGCCACGTTTTTCCGAATAGACATATTCCATACATGCCACAAAGGACTATGTGCCGACATCGCGGCGAATGGCATCGCTCCTCTGATCCCATCATGAAGTTCTTGTTCTCTATACAGCAGGGTTGAATATAGCTTTCGCTTGTAGGTGTGGTCCATCCTACCCAGGTCACCCTCATCGATTTGGGCATCTACGGTACTGGTGATGTCAAGGTGCATCTCGAGGTTATCTATGAAGAACTGGTCTTCTACTGTTCCAAAGGAAAAATTCCACTGCACATGATGGGGCTCACCCGGACATTGGTCGGGTATGGCAGTTCGGCTGACTACCCAACCGGGAAACTTGGAAGCATATTCGAATCCGGATTTTTGATTTCTGCTATAAACGGCATTCAACATGTATTTATACATATCAAGGTTGTTAGGGGCCGGTGTTAATTTCAGGAACTGGTTTAAGGGCGCCGACACGGTGTCCTTGTGCAAGTTCTTGCAGCACAAGTTTGCTTCGGTTCTCGTTGCTTGTGCGCCTGATGAACGACCTTATGTTCGAAACATATTGGCAATGCTTCGGGCCTGCAACACGTTTATGTCGACGATGTACCATGGAGATGTATTTCTGACGGACGACGAGAGGAGAATCCTCATTCGCAATGGACATGTGGTTACCACCAAATTTGCCGCTTGCGCTTCCCATGCTTATCACACGCTGAACATCCCGAGATACAAGTACCAACCAAAGTATCACTTCTTCGCTGAGGTTGTCTACAAGCTTGAAAGTGACCAGAGGGCCGGTGTAGCATCGGTAAACCCGGTGCTAGAATCAACCCAAGTCGATGAAGATTTCATCGGTAGAATATCAAAGTTTTCACGAGAAGTCTCAAGCCGGACGATCCATATTCGGACATGCAAGAAATACTTGATGTCTTTAGCATCGCTGTGGTAGTGGTGATCGAGCACTTCCCATACGCTTCCCCCTTAATTAAAGAAGGCCAAGTCCTTTGTGTAGTCATCCAACGATCACCGCCACCATGGCTGACAGACCTGAGCGCGGCTCAGGGTTTCGGGGAGTGTTGCCGCCTTTGACTGGCATTTGCAGAACCTGAGTCGCGGGCTAAGGCAAAAGACGATCATCAGGAAGTGCTGGTACATCTTTCGGCATCTTTCAATGCTTGTTTTCACATCATGACCCAGTAAAGCTAAGGATCCCGAAATCGTGATTTTAAAGTTGCTTATTCTAGGATCCAGAAGCGGCAACAGTGCGGAGTTGCAGCTTTTAAACGGCCACCGGGTTTTGCAGGTAAGACAAATTCGCCTGATAGAATCTGATAGAACCCATGACGAAGCCTACACAACCCCTATACCCAGAGAGCCCAA